CCTTGTTCCTAGTAGCGGTGCCCTTGCTACTTGTATAGCTTCTTTGAAGCAAGCGCAAGGCCGCTGCCAAGTCGTCGCCGGTGCCGAAGCTCCCCATCGGTGCGCCCGGGAGTTCGGGCAGAGTTTCGGGCGAGGTTGGCACGGCATGACACACCCCTCCGGTCGGTTTCAAACTTGGAGGGCTGCCTGGCCAGGAAGTACGTGAATCACCTGAAAAGCCTTGGGGATTGGGGACACCTCACGAAATATGAAGCTCCAGGTATGGCTCAATTCAGTGCGTGAAAAGAGTCGACTGGACGTGCTCAAGCTTCACGATGCCCTCGCGGTTGCACCTCAACACTGTTCTGTTCTGCCCACCTGCATGATGGTATGAAGACAGACGCAACTTGGTTTACTTTGCTGATCGACGAGCAGACTTTCGTGGCTTCGATCATGTGATATGGTTTGTCGCCTTTGAGGCTGCGTGGGTGAAAATGGATCTCATCACCCAGGATGGCAACAGAGTTCTGCTTTGCACCTGTCAGCAAGATCTTCGGGAACTCATTCCCATGTTCATTGTGTATGTGGCAAACTGCCTTGGCTGCCATGCCGTCCATGTCCCCTCATTTTCCGCCTCCTGGCCTATTTGTGCTTGCGAACAAAGACATCACCTCCGTGTCCAGCGCCTTCAAACAGAACCCAGAAGCGAGTGGGCAGACCATGCCGATCCCCAGTTGTTGACTTTCTGCATCAACGCTCGTACCGCATTCCTTTGTCAAGTCTTTCAGGGAGACTTTGATGATCATTTTTGGGCAGCCGGGAGATCTCAAGACAGCCCCAAAGCATCTTCCTCCCAGGGTCAACCGGCCAATAGAGGTGTTGATCCACTTCTTGCGAATGACCCGTGGAAAACACCAGCCAAGCAGTTGTTCAGCACCAGGTGGGAGGACCTCCTCCTACCAGCTGATCACCCTTTGCAGGAGGCAGATGGCACCAAGCTTGAGCAAACCCACAAGCTCTAAGCGTCCGCCCGCCGCAACGGTGCTGTCTTAGCAACCAAAGCAGCACTTCCAGACCTTTCCAGAATCACTGCTGCAGGAGCCTTTGTTGTCATCATCCCTGCGGTTGACAGGATCAAGCTTGGGGATTTTGGGGCCAAGGTCAAAGGACCCCATGAACTGGTACTACATGATCCAGTACTCAAAACGGACTACAAACGCCTCACTCTCCTTTTTCCGATCAAAGAAATGCTTTCACACAGCCACAGGAATTTGAGATTGTCATTGAATGTGATACAAGACTCCTTCCCAGCAAGGACATTGATTCCGCCAGGGCCGAGCCATTTCAGTACATCAAACACTGTTTTGGGCTCCAGTTTGTTGACCTGAAAGATGTTGTTCAGTTCTACGCCTACCGTACAGGAGACGATTGCCAATTTCAATGTATGTTGAAAACTCCGAAGGCACATCGTGCGTTGATTCTGCACGGAAGTGGTTCGCACAACCTCCTTTGAAGTGTTACATTCCTATACGTCCACATACCCTTTGAGAGGGCTTTCAGTGTTCAACTCTTTATGTAGGCGCCAGGAGGGTCCTTCAACACCTTCGAGTAGGAGGGTCCTTCGCGTTGTTTTAGCGCCACGCCTGTTCGAGGCCGTCGCCTATCCCTGAAGCCGTCCGAGACTTAATCAAGTTGTTTGGTGGACTCCATTTGGGGATATTTGGGGTGGAATAGATTGCAAGAAACACAGCCCTGTGGACAAAAAAAATACTTGCAGATAGTGTTGTTTTTTGGAATTATGTTTCACAGCATCCTCATATTGGAAGGCAGATTGACCCTGGAAACCCAAACATCTCGAAACGGACCTCAGTTCCCTTCAGGTTTTCTCCTTCGAAGAGATTGATTTTGGGCCGTTTTGAGTAAACATGGATGCTGGGAACATCCACAGGGTCTTGAACCAGCCCCGCTGAGACGCACAGTTTGTTGAGTCGATTTTCGTGTGTGGACATCGTCTGTGACGCTGGTGACCTCAGAAGTTTGAACAAATTTGAACAGCAAAAACTCGACTGTGATGGGATGGGAGATCTGCACCGAGACAAACGTACATCATGGTATGACAAACCAGGGGACACACTTATTTGCGCACAAACAAGGTTCATATTCATGTGTTTGTTATTGTTTGTTATTTGTTCTTTGGAGGGCCTGTTTAGTCAAGTTCAATCAATGCACAGAGCGATGACTTTCACCAGCAACCACCGGAAACCCGATCAAACAAATCATGGTTTCATCCCAGATTGTCGCATGTGAGCTCGTTCAGAGCCTAGAAATATAGGAAAGATCGCGTGACCCACATCTTTAGGAAAAGAACGGTATCTAGTTTGGTACCCAATTCTTCCTGGCGGTTCAGATGGCACTGGAACTCGCGTTTTTCCTCGATGGCTCGATGGCGGATGTCGGTGGATGTCGCTGTGAGGAGCTCGGTTGAAGCAGAAGCTTTCAACTTGGTCACGGCTCGGGGAGAGGACGGTGTTCATCAGTCGCAACCCCTGCCGCCAAAAAACCTCCATCAGTCGATCCCTGGGTGTTTAGCGTCGAACACCCGGGTGTTCACAGGGGAAAGGAACCGGTATCGAAGCGTCCATGCTGGAGAGCTTTATGTCGGGTTTCACCCCATCATCACGGTTGTCACCTGGAGAGCCAAGCTCCGAAAGGACGCCCGATCAGATGGGGGCATCAGCTCAGCCATGACGAACACCTTGTATTTATACGTGAGGTCTATGGTCATCTTTTGAACTACCGACCTATATAGTATTTTTGAGTGTCTAAGGTGTCTAGGAGTCTACCAGTTCCAGTCAATGGCATTAGTGGCCTTGGGACACATCACCTTCAAATGCTTCGTGGAGGCACCAACCAAGTCTCAAATGGTCGAACACGACTCGTTGGACATGAACTCTTACCTACCAGGACCCGCAACCTGCCAGGCCACCTGCGACTTTGAAGTCTCCAAAAGCCCATCATTTCGGAGACCTGTAGAGTTCGGTGCTGGTATAAATAAGTTCAGGTCCGAGGATCCATTTCGGGCCTTCGCTCAAGAGTTGGTATGCGAAGCGCAAAATAGCATGTGAGTGCCAGGGTATCCAGTGGTTCCAAAGACTAAACCTTAACCATAGACCTATATAGAATCCCTGGTTCATTGTATAGTGGTAACTGGGAATCACGGGGTTGGGTTTTAATTTTGCCTTTACACTAATGAGAGGACTTTGTGAGGACACACGCGCCAGGAGGGTCGTGAAAGCTTTCCTGCCAGAGCTAGGCAGGTGGAAGTGAGGTTATTCTGAGGAGTGTGTTGGTCAAAGACCATGGCTTTCTTGATCGAGAGCCTTCAGTGTGGTTTTGCCTTATTGAGGAGTGCATTGCCTCTCAGGAACACCCATCTTGGACCTTGGACCTAAGACAGGTGTGATCCTTGAAGGGCCTTCAAGGGAATGCATCTAGTCAAATGTACGGCGTATACCGGTGCAAAAACAGCTCATCCTCAGGTCGTCAGATTAAACAAAAAGACACAGCCAGGAGTCGTCACGCACGATCCGTCTCTTTTTTCCCCGACCCATGGGTGGCAGGAGTCGTCACGCACATTTTCCCGTGTCAAAGACAGCATGGTCCCATGAAGAATAATACAGGTCCCATGCAGGGTCTAACTTGAGTCTCAGGACTCAGGACTCCAGACATATGGTTTTCGAGTTCTATGTGATTTGGCTGGTACGTCCCCAGTTCTTTGTTCTGGTGGGACGCCACTTCATGTTTGGTTCAACTCATTGATGAGCTATGCTATTGTGTCCGAATCCTCCAACAATCGATTCGATCTAAATGCTGGAAGCTTTTTTCGGAGACCCTTAGGCCTTAGGCCTTTGAGTCTTTTCAGATGTGATCCAACAGATCACAGTGACATAGTGACAGACCAGTGGAAGATTAGAACTATTGAACAAGAGGTTTGGAGCAGAACTTGCAGCTTTGCAAGGTCGATTCATGTGACATGACTGGATTTGGGGATCGGGATCAGAACGAGGGAAGCGGCAGGTCCAAAGGATGAAGTAGACTGTTAACTGTGAACCCTCCCTGCAACTGCGTAGACTGAGTAGACTGTGGCCCCCGTGGCCCTTGGTATTTGGATTTCATGATCTCCAGAGTCAGGACATCCACTGAACCATTGTGTCAACTCCTTCAGTGGGCCCCCGCCCTCCCCAAGCTCCACAAGCTCAGAGGGGGCAAGCCCCGTCCCGGAGTGCGGCAGCTTCTGCAGGTCTGAAGAGGACGCGAGAGAATGCGGTCGTGGGAGGTTCCGGGGTTGGCAGAGGCACATGTAACGAAGATGGGGAGTCATTAGTGAGGTCTGACCTCCCCGAACGTGGTGAACGTGGTGAACCTGATCCTGCCAGACATCTTGCATGATCCTGTTAGACTTGCGACCCAGTGAGAGGAGTTGTTGTTCTTTTTTGTTCAGATCGATAGGTCTTTCAGGACCAGCGAAAAGTCTTCGTTCGAGCACAGTCAGGCCCTTCCAGTCCCGGGCTGTAGTCGCAAGAAACGGGGAATTGGGTGAATCTGAACATGCAGCTACCACAGCCAGGGTTGGGAAACAGCTACTGCAGCCAGCCCCGATCGCAGCCATATGCCATATGTTGCAGAAGAGTGGCAATTGAATGCATTCTATCATAAAACGGCCAACATTTTGGCTGTGCCTTTTGGGCAGTCGTGCCCTTTTGTCCCGGGACATACACCCTTCCTGGAGAGTTCTGTGGTGAATCAAGCCAGTCAATGTCGTTGAATTGAGTCTACCCTGCGACCAGTTACTTAACTTTTGGTTTAATGTGGACTTTTGATTCTTGAACAACACATACAAAGTTAACAATGGACACATTTTAGTCATATTTTAGTTTTACAATCCAACCGAGGGTTTTTGTTAATCAAGATTCTACATTAGTTGGGACTTCCCATGATTCTCACTCCAAGAATGCCTTTGAATGGCCGTCTGCTCCACCCGCCTTTCCGCGCGCCTTGGAACCGCGCGCGGAACGGCCACGCGGACGGTCGACAAGTGCGCCGTGGCTGGGGGTCTCCTCAGGGCCATCTCTGCTGGTGCTCGATCTCCCAAAGTGAAAGTGACCCAGAATCGAGACTCGGCTCCATGAAGACTCGAGAGCTCCGTTGTCCTCCCCTTCTCTCCAAAACGCCGGCCTGGTGTGCGCGAAAACAGGCATGCGAAAACCCCACGGTTACTTTCTGTGGAGAAGTGTGGAAGATTTAGGATGTGATCTTGACCTACATGGCGTGTTTGGTTTTGGGTTTGCTTTATTTCATGCCAAAGCGGGGACGTATTGTGTTGTGCACTTGCCAATGTTCGTGAGGCTGCAGCGGCTACAGAATGATGCGGACTCCAGACAGGGTCCCAGAGCTTCTCAATTGAGTCGTATCTGTCGCAAATGATCCCTTCTCTAAAGAACTGATCTCTAAAGAGGTGATCAGCTCTCTCCTGTTCTTCTTCACTACGTCGCCGACCGACGGACCGAGGAGAAGCGAATCTGCAGATCAGTGCTTTCGCGCGAGGGAAGCAATGGCAATCCGCCCTGCGACTGGGAGATGAGTTTGGGTGACAGACAGGTGACCGGCACATACGCTCAGAACACCTCACGTGGATGGCACCCCTGTTTTCACAGGAAAGTGGTCTTTCATGCCATCCAATGCCATCCACTTTCATGCTAGGTCTGGAGTCAGAGTGAAGGCCTATCATCATATCATCGAGGTCTAGAGTCTAGAGACATCGGTTTGCAGGTCGTGGCTGGGCGTTTTATAGCGGGCACATAATATATGGATAATCTATTGTGTTTCTACGAAAAAAAGAACACGCGTTCTCACCCCTACGAGCTTAGACTCTTCAGGTCTACGTGAGTGCCGTGAGTGGCTCGACTCGACTCTGCAGAGGTACTAGTAGGTGTAGCGGTGGACCAGCTTCGGATGAATCGAGGAGGTTTGGGTGGTGTGGAGCCAAGGGTTACGGTTTCAAGTATCGACCTCGTGAGATCTTCGGATCAGTTAGGGCATCATCAAAGTGTCCAACTGATCACCCTCTTCTAGGGGGTTGCAGTAGATCCGGAGGGAATGACAGGATAGATGTCCATGACATGTCACTTCCGGTTCAGATGGCAGCTGGAGCTGGGCACTTCCTAGATCTGTTGAGCGTGTTTGCTTGAAGTGACCACTGTAATCTCTTGCGGCTTGAATCACCTTTTGTTGAACATAAAAAAAACAACAACTCAGAAAACCAAGCAAAGTGCTCAATTCACCTTAATCCACCCCCACTACCAAAATCAGTTTGATTGAGAAAGCTGATTCAAAGCGCGTTCAACATGTGCGTTTCAGGGTCGTGGACTGGAAGTGTTTCCATCAAGCCCACTATACCACCATTTGATTGCGCTTGACTCGCATGCCCAAAGCGTTGGTGAACAGACGGCTGTGGTAAACGAATCAAACCCCTGATTTCCTGGACCTGTAATCAACGACTGGTCCATTCTCTGGCTTACTAAGCTCAAATCGGGATAATCGGGCTCACTCTTGGAGTAAGAGGGGTCCACATATTATAATGGAAGCCTCATGTCATAGGAAGGTGCCATTCGCACATCCAATCCAAGAGCCTTTCAACAGGGGATCTTTCCATACTGGAGCTCCTAAGTTCTTGTCCTTTCGCCTCACCAATCCAATTGATCGTACGAGGCTCCTCTTCCAGAAGATGAAGACGGGCGAGGCCGATGCCGGCCTCGGCAAAGCCTGCCTTGCCGCAGCCGGCGAGGCCTCACCGCCCCGAGTCAAAAGTGTTGCGCCAAGGGTGCTGGATGTGGTGAGCTACAATGCCACCATCAGCAGTTGCCAGTCCGGTCCGTGGAAACCCGGCTGGAGATCGGTGAACGAACGAGAGGTTGTGCGCTGTGGCGTCTTGGAACGTGTACTGTAGTGTAATATGTATATATGTATTGATGTATATTGAGTCATATGTATATGAAGATAAGGTTCATCATAGTCCGTCACCTGCAGTGAAAACATTAAATTAGGATTGGAAACAGAAGTGGGGAGGGATGGTTTAGGTGGAATGGGGCCTCTTCCTGGATCTAGCAATACTTCTTACCCGTTGATGGTTTCAAGTTCCCGCATACCACCTCAACCTCCATGTGTCTACAGTACATGATGTAGCGACGTTCTTTGTCCCATGTTCTTTTTTATTTTTTTGAGCTCGGAGGTTCCACAACAGAGTAGTTGTTGGGAACAATGCGTTTCCGTGCGTAGAGTTGCATCAGCCGTTGCTGGACGATGCTGCGAAGAGAAGACAAGATCATTGGGACCTTTTGGACTGGTGTCCGGATCTCAAGTGCGGGCTGAGGCAAGTTTCAGTCTACCTCCTGCAGGAGATGATGTACCAGCGAGTTTGGCCCAACATCATCAGTTCCTGAACGCCACGTGTGGGGACCAAATGGTCATCGGGCATGGGCCTGCTGCGCAACATCGCAGTCAAAAAGACTGTATTTATATAATCAGAATGCAGCATCATAGTACCATATCCTTCAAGAGGATGTCCCAATGTGTTTGGGTGGCGGTGGTGTGGGGAATGATTCTGGGAAGCTGAAAACTATGCCTGGACCGCAGTCCAGTGGATCTAAGGACCAAGTGGCCTTGGGTCAACCTACCAGGGATTAGGGCTCTGGGTTTTAACCCACAGCCATGTATCACAGGCATGCTCCACTGAACCTCTCATTCACACTCTTGTACAATGTGTTGTTGAGCAAGGTGAAGCAAACCCATGGGCATAATCAAAAGCAAATCAGAGTTAAACATATACCCTCTCTCTCTAATATATATATATAATATGGGCTGCTCAGTCAATGCTCACTTTCGAGTAGCACTTGGATTGAAGAGTGTCAGTTTGAAGGTATATGTTCCAGTCAGTGTTCCAGTCCCATGAGGTGTTTAAGAATATTGACTGTTGACTGTGGCCTTCAACACCTTTTGTTTTTTTGTTTCTGCTCACAAAATGCAGGCTACAACGCAACCTTGTCTCTTGGCCAAAGATGTAGACGCATTCTTGCAGGTTTTTGCTGTCAGTGTATCTTAAGTTTGTCAACCTTCTTAAGAGATCTTACAAGACATGATGGAGGTGGGTAATTGGTAGGTCACTTCTGAACATGGACTGGTGTTAATATAATTAGTAGGGCACTAGTTGATTTGGCAAACCATCCATCAAAGGCTTATGACTTTGGACACCTGACCTGACTGTCCTGGGCTCCCAACAAAGAGATCCAAGGAGCTCCTGCGAGAAGGGGAATCAATGGCAACTGGCCTTTCACCTCTTTTCATCCATGGAGATCTCTCCTGAGCCGTGCCACAAGAGATCTTCCGAGCGGTGAGCGTGCGAACACGAGCCGGGGCACGGTACGAACCGTGCACGGTACGGGTTCGTGCGGAAGAAAACCAGAAGGACAGCGGGTTCATGAGATCCTGTGGTGTGACAGAAGCTAGCATCCATTTGGATGATGGGATGTACCCAGCCAGATAGAGGGGTGGCTGATGAGCCCACCTGAGCCTCTAAGCAGTAAGCCTGGTCGCCAGCCCCTCGGTTTTCACACCAAGTTTTGGTGGTCGACTATGCGGTCGCCATTTGTGTGTTCTGAGTCTAAAGGGCGGTTTAGGCGAAAGTACGTCCGTTGACGAATGTCACCACCACCGGCGTGCCAACACTGTGCCTTTTTCGAAAGGTTTGTCGTCAGCTTTGTGGTTGTGACTTCGGGGGCTCTGTCAGGGTCAGGATGAAACTTACTGTATTGTGTAAATTGAATGTACTCTTACTTACCTGTAGTAGTTGGAGACAATGATCGGGTCAATTGCAATTGAGGACTTGGTCACCTGCAACACCCTGATCAGCGCATGTGCTCGAGAAACTCGATGGCCAGACGCGATCAATCTGTGGCTAGGAGCTGGAAAACGCGCTCGTCGCTTTCGTCCGGAATGGAGGATCTTCCCCTCAATTAGATGAAGAACTCCTAAAGTTCCTTCGGGGCAGGTCTTTGGAGCAATCACAGGACTTCTTCTGTATGTGTTCCATTGTGTTCCTTCGGGGTTCCCCTCCAAATCGGACAACGTGTAGCTAGCCAAATGCAGGTTCTCCGGGTAGAGGAAGACCATCCTGGCAACGGGTCTTAACCTTTAATGTTCACAGCTACATGTTGCTTTCTTTTGACATGAGGCTATGGGTTATTACAAGATCTACTGCAAGTACCATGCAGTGGATTTCCGTGTCAGCCCCGGTTCCAAAAGCAGATTTATTCTATTTTATGTCCATCAGTGTGTATGACTGTATGACCCATAACTCTGGGAGCCCAGCCGCAGCCTTTTTCTCAGCTCTTTCTTTGCGGTGTGAGGTTGACTTCGATGGAAGGCAGAAGAGTTCTCCCAGACCTCATCAGCTTCAAAACTGCCATCACCTCCTGTAGGCGGGTCGATGCCTTGCTGACTGTGGGCCACGGGTGACCACGGGTGACTGGCTTCAAAAGAGAAGAGTCAAGGCAGCTGTGAACAGTTGTGTTGAAAGAAGAGGTGTCCCGAAAACCACCGCAGCACTGCAGTAATCTGCAGTGCCGCTGTTTGTGTGGGTGTGAATGTCTTGGAGCGAAGACGCATTCACTACTATCGGAATTGGCTTCTATGGGAACATCCTGCCATGAAAACCAGGCTACCACTATGCATTTTATCTACCAAGCAACACGGTTTTGCTTTGGGTGCTCCAACAGACTCCGTTGGTGACTCCAAGCTAAACCCGAAACGCCTCCGGTCAGCTCTCCTGTGTCCGCCCGGTCGCAGGAAGGAGGGGCGATGGGAAGAAGCCTTGGAGCTTTTGAGCCTCATGTGGCAGCAACGAGTGGCCATTGACTTGGTTGCCCGGAGCAGATGATTCTCCCTCATAACCCGACTACATCGGGCTCCAAATACATCCTCACAAACTCCTGGCCAGTTATTCTACCCGAGCCAAGTACATTATAAGGAGGTAGTTGAAACCCTGGCTTTGATCTGACTATATAAATCAGGAGTTGACCTGGACTTGGGACATGCTTGAATTTGGAGCCTCCCAAATTTCTAAAACAAGCGCAGTGCGTTTCTGGGAGTTGAAAGGGAGTTGGACCCAACAAATGGGTGGACACACAAAATTGCAGGTGCACAGCTGCTTTTGCACAGTCAGCTCGAGAGTAAACACTTTCAACACCAGTACCCACCATAAGGCGCCGTTAAGGGGCCAGTCGTGGGAGGCGCTCAGACATCCGACGTCCGCAAGCCGTGCCTTCTTGAAGTGGAGTCGAACGAGCGTCGACCGGTCTCCCTACTATTCCGAGTTCGACATCCAGGTCATTTCAACATTTCCATCTTCCATCTTCCATGTTGTTTCTTTCCATCTTCCTGTTCCACCCGCCCAGATCACGATGAACAGTGCCATGACCTGTACGGCCTCCGCACAGCAGTGGAAGGAGGCGCCGTTTGGCGCCGTTGTGCGATGACTGCGTCCGTCCTTTCCGATGCGGAGCGATGCGGAGCGATGGAAATAGCGGTTCCATAGATATTTCAACGGTGCCCCTACATCTTCCCTCAAACGGTTGAACAGGTGCAGAAGCTTGACTCCCTAGATCTCTCTTTCTTTACCATGCTGCTAGTCAATGGCCCACAATGGGGTTGAAGGTGGATGAATTGTTTGGGTGATACCTTGGAGCAAAACTTCAAGCTGCCAAACCAATAAGCTTCTATGTTAAAGTTTCCCTAAACATCTAAAACCAAATCATTTAGGGCGGTGCGGGGAGCTTCCTGGAAGAAGCGTGAGCCATCCTGCATCCATACTAGTAACTACGACTACTTAAGCTACTAGCTACCTCTCCCCACTAGCTACCGACTCCCTAGCTAAACTCTACTTGCGGCCTAACCCACCCTTGTAAAAAAACAAGATGGAGCCCACGGACCCGAATGCAGACACGTTCGAAAAGCTACAAATGACACTCTTGTAGGACACTCTTGTGGGACACTCTTGTGGGTCACTCTTGTAGGAAACTCTTGTGGGACACTCTTACGGGACAGTCTTGTGGGACACTCTTGTGGGACAGTCTTCTGGGACACTCTTGTGGGACACTCTTGTGGGACACTCTAGTAGGACACTCTTGCGGGACACTCATACGGGACACTCTTGTCGCACACTCTTGTAGGACACTCTTGTGGTCACTCTTATGGGAAACTCTTGTCGGACACTCTGTGAGACACTCTTGTAGGACACTCTTGT